ATAAAGAGCTCCATTTGTCGGGGCAAAAGCTGTTATTTTGATTGTGAGAAATTGAATTCTGCATTTAAGAAAAATACACACCACAACCTCTCCCAAATGTTGTAGCCAGTTTCAAACTCAACTTTGGACTTCCAGCAGGAAGAGCACCTACTGCATTGAAAACTCATCGTTAATTATTGTTCAGAATAGCCTGGTGGCATTTGCTTAGCCTGCGAGATCCTCAGGGTGGCACAATCTAATAGCTGTGCTTATACAGCTTCTACCATGATAAGGACCCTGTAAAAATAGAAGCCCAAGTAACTAGAGTCATTACACACACACATACATATATGCAGTTTATGCAGATATTATTGCCAAGAAATTATTCTCCCATAAAGACAAGGATTGGATCTTGCTGCCCCCAAATGAGAATTTTACTCTAATCACATAAAAAGAACAACTTCATAAACACAGGAAGAAAGAGAGAAATGATGCTTCCTGTGAGAAGGAAGTCCATTTAAAGCGTGAATAAATTGATGCAGTCAGGAGAAAGAAGCTTGTATATGCAAATAGAGGTTTATTACCCATTTTTGTGCTCCTAAGAAACATAAAAAAACTACTGACCTTTGAGAGAAGGATCAAGTAGGTTTACGGAATAAGAAACAAAGGCATCTCTTTTGGCAACAGCCATGTTCCAGAGCAGTAATTATCCTTCTCTCTCCCCGTGAGCAGCAGGAAATGAAGAGGGGTGCGATTACATTATAACAATTACTGTAATTTTAATTTCTAAAAATTGCCAGGAAAGTTTCCTCTTAAAAAAAAAAAAAAAAAAAAAAAAAGCCTGTTCAGATTTTTGGTGTAGTTTTAGTTTAAAACTCATTCCTCAGCTAAAACAGAGCTGTGCTTCCCCCTCTCCCACTCCTTTTGGGGAACACCCACAAAGTCTACATGGTGAGAAAGCCCACTTTCCTCCTCATTAGTTGAGAAGATAGGTGGCTAAGTGTGGTCAATGAGGATCCAGGAAAGATGGAGGTGGCCTGAAGGCACGTCACAGGTGCAGTAAGGACGCACAAACTGGGCTGTCCCTGCTAGGTGCTGCCAGGATGGATCCCTAGGAGCCCTCAGCTTTTCAGCCTAGTCTGCTGTTGGGTTTAATATCACTCGAAATTATTTGGTCATGGGCACAATAACATATTCTTCTTTCTATGGAAAGTGGTTGATGTTAGATGCACAATAATTAAAAAGAATTAAAAAGAAGGATTATTTTAATCTCCTATGCTCAGAGGGATTATTGGCTTTTTTGTGGAATTTCTGCAGGCTATCATTTATTATTTTAATAGTATGGATAATCTATTCTGTGCTATTAGAATATTATCATATTTTATTATACCCAACTATTGCACTGTGGGATGGACTTAGCCCAAGAGGACAGGTCTACTCGGCTATCCAACCTCCCCTACCACCGACCACACTGTCCCAGGCTGTTATGGGGGACACCTGAAATACCTCCTCTCCTACAGTGGACTCTCTGCCTGGAAGGAGGAACAGCTGCTTTGCTCCAAGGTGTGTCTGTGCAGGGGGAGAAGGTGGGATTCGAGGCACATCTGCCCCATACATAGGCAGGAACCAGAGGCAACCATATCACCAAATACATTACCGTCTCTGCTGTATGCTGCAACAGCATTTCTCATAAATGGAAAGCTGCTTTCCAGGATTCCCCTGTGCACTCCCTTAATGAGACTTCCGAGGTCTCATTTTGGCCACCGGCTCAATATTTACAATTGCTTTCACAGATCCAAGCTAAAGGGCTTTTTTCAAATAGTTACCACAACTCACATTCAACAACGATCATTTAGTGTAGTAAAAATTTGTCTCTTTCAATATATGCAGTAACACACCTATAGAACTACATCGATTTGCCCCCACACAAATACATTCCTACAAACACATATTTGATTAAGAATTTATATAAGTTCGGGCTTCAACGAATTTTGGATCAATGCCTTTATTTTGCTTTTATAAATAAACAAACTCAATTAAACAGTACTTACAGCAAACCACGATGGGCAGGAGAATAATTTTCCCAAACCTTCACTTTCCAATTTTTACTTGTTACATGGGTCTAAGGAATCAATTACTCCCTAAAGAGAACTTATTAGAGTTTGTGTTACCAAACATCTTACCTTTCCCACCCACCAATGGAAGAGAAGAATTACAGGGACACGTATACAGAAAAACTAGCATTCTTCAAACCTCGTATAATTTTCTGTAGTAAGCATAAATAAAATAAAACAAAGCCCTGCAGGCAAGCAGCATTTGAATCAAGACTGGATCTGCACCAAGTCAAGAAGTTCACCATGCAGTCTCACAAGACCCATAAATCAAGTCATCTGAACATATGTAGTATTTTGCATTACTGTATAGGGTGTTAACGTTAATGCCTTAATATATGCACATAGTGGTCAGGTTATGGTTGCTGTGGGAACTATAATTTTGCATGTCCTGACCAATTTGTAGATAGAAAAATAATAATAAGTAAAAAACAATCACACCACTGCATTCCCTTCATCAGGTTTTATACATTTAATTTCTCTCTTTTTATATTTGAAGGAGGAAGAAAAGAAGACACATGTGAAGCTGCAAATGTATAGGAAAGCTGAAACAGATGTGAATTAACTTTCTTCCTTGTCAAGGAGTTTGCATGAAACCTCACGTGTCCCCAGCCCAAGCAAGTGTCACTGCATGAAAAGTATGTGCTCTTGGGCATGATCAAGCTTATTGCTGAGTCAGAAGCATCTTGTCAAGGACATACCACAACCCCCTTCCTTTTCATAACGCACTGAAGCCAACCACCAGCATTCACTTGCAAGTGACAGCTACAAGGAGAAACAACCTGCAGCTGATCCAGTTTAACACAATTTCTGCTGATGCTGCCTGACCCACACCAAATTGTTACTGCTACAGTGTCCTAATGGGTAGGATTCTTACCTGTTTTAAGGCAAAGGGATTTGTCTCTGTCTCTCTTCCTGCAGCCTCCCTTTACTGCCACCCCCACCATCACTCGTCTCCAAGATTTGAGTACTTTTATCCGACATCTTGTTTTTTTCCCCTATTAAAACTCTGCTGCCTTCCAGAGAAAGTTGGTTTTGGAGTCATCAGCCATTTTCAATATACCAAAAAAGTTGATTGCATCCAGGCTTACTCCAGGTGCAGGGATGTGCAACAGCTATGCAGTAATTAGCCCTCTTCATCCTATTAGCACTGGTTAATGTCCAGCAGCGGCCCATATCACATGGAACAGCCATGGCCATGCAACCATGTGGTAGTCCAGGCAAGACCAGAGCTGTTCCCGCCTCTGCAATCCACTCCACCGACAGTAATCTAACAAAGTTGGTTAAAAGCACAAGAAGTGATATAATATAGATGGCATGAAAACAAATCACAGCTAATTTGCCCAAAATAAACCCCCTTATCTCTGAGCTCAATCATCAAAACCAATATATGTTTGATGTCTGGTGGATTTGACCATCATTCAAGAGTATGCTATTTGTGACCATGCACAATACCCATGTTCAAAACAGATCATCAGTTGGTGGACAAAAATAAGCTATAAAATTTCTACAAACACATAGCTGAAAAGCAACATGTGTGCACAATCACTCCAAAGCGGGCGGTGGGAACACTCAATAAGGGTAAAGGAATACATTAGCCCTTTGGCACAAAAGGGCCTTAGCTTCATTGCCGCTGCCACCTAAAACCAGCTAAGAAGGTCTGATGCAGAATTGTAATTGCTTGAAAACTATCTAATATTAAAGCTCTGGTCCATTGACTTCTCTAATGGTAGGGTCTTCGGTGGCATCGTTTCACCCTTCTTTACAGAGAAGCATTAATGTTACAAAGGACAACTATTTCTTATATACATGTTGAGGAGGATATAGAAAACCGGGTGGCACAACAAGGTAGGGAATGAAGATTCATTAGGAAAGCAGAAAACCTGCTGACTGACCCTTAAAAGAAAAGACAAGGGTATCAATAATATCAGAAATATTCACTGGATTTAGGCATAGAGTTCTGCTTTTTGGTGGCATATCAGTTGCAAATACCTAAAAGCCTTTTAGTGTGTAGGACTTGAAAGGCCAACCTAATCTCTGCTGGACTCATCCTACACCTAACTGATCTCCTGGCATCAAACCTCTCATTGAAATCTGTAGAGATTTCTTATACACACACACGCATATCACATATATAGTATTTTGCATTACTATTTACATATATAGTATTTTGCATTATTATTTGTGAAAGACTACGCACATACACATGTATACACATATATATACACATACATTCCTTTACACTCTTAATCATGTTACATATGTGCACAGGCACACATACATTTAATTATATTTTATATATACACACATATGCATGTACATATGGAACTAAAATATGCACAAAATTATAATGTATGTACTCTGATTACACATAGTATTTATTAATTGACAAAGTTCCTAATAAGAGTAAAAAGAGAAAAAAAAGGCTCTATTTGCATATATATAAAATAGTTAACCACAGTGTAATGTAGCCGAAGAACGCAGGATACATGATCCCTCTTAAAAGTGAGGACAGAGATTTGGTAAAAAACCCTCTTACTTCCTTCTACGAAATTGCACTTGGTGTGTGATTTCACTTAGCCTAAGAGCCCATCTCCCAGAGGAGGGGGTACAGGACTGCTCTTTGATATATTTCAGAGCAGACAGAACTCCCATCAAGAAGGGAAAAACAGCCCCATGAGAACAGAAAAGCAGAGAATAATTAAACAGGTATTACATATGTCTTTTTTCCTGGGTCCTGTACCTTCCACCTCCAAAGATGTCGTAAATCTCTATTTGAAAACCATCTCACTGGCTTCAGTGAAGGTAGTGGGGGAGCACTATGCTCTTCAGCATCATTAGTGGGGTTAGAAAACAGACCTTTTTTAGCAATGTACTTACTGTCAAACACAGAGACACACACGAACTTACCTGTTTGGTACTTCTCTGCCCAGTAGGAAGCAAAGCTTTGGATTTCTCTGCTATTTTCTGCAAAATGGAAAAAAAAAAAAAAAAAAAGAGGGAAAATGGCTCAGAAAAGAGAGTCCAAATATTTAGGGAAGGAATCATATGAAGCTATTTCTTCTGATTTTTAAAGAAAAGGATATAGAGAAAACTCTTACTACTTAGAAAAAGAAAGGGAGTATAACCGCATTGAAAAGTTTGGTCTTGCAGGAATTAAAAGTCTTCAAAGCTTCCAGAATGACAAGGTTATCAAAACTGAAACACGCATTTAAGAAATGACAGCTAGGACGTGGATAAGTAGCAATTTACCACTCAGATTGGTTTCCTGACGCAACCGGGCATTCACAAACTGCAGTGGTTAATTTTGGCACTTCTGAATTGATGACAGTTTTTAAAAAAAAACCAACCCTACATGTTCAGTTCAGATGGATTGTACTCATGAACATTAAAAAAAAAAAATAGAAAAGGTGTGTGTATGTGGGGGTGGAGCCCTTCACCTGAATCCTTCCAGCTTGTCATTTAATGGGATAAGGTCATTTCATTTAAAAACCCCACACTTAGGCTTTTGTATAGGACAGAGAAATAATTAAATATATGAGATGACACTAGAGATAATGCAATGCTATTACATAATATAAATGTTATTGAAATGTAATTTTATGTACTTTTATTCATTCATTCATTTATTTATTTATTTTTAAACCATCGGCAGCAAGTGTTGCGAAACCAATCAGTACAGAGTGTTTCTAATAGTGATACATTATGAAGACCATGTTGCCAGCCAAATTTCATTACACCTGTATAATTACAATATATTCTTCCCATGTGTTGCAGGCACGGGTCAAACTCACTACAGCAGTGTAAGAAAGCAACCAGAGTTTGTCCAGGTTGTATTTGCATAGGATTCAATTAATCCAGATACATGTTCAAACTTGTTACTGCAGGGGAGAGAAGCAGTTTGAGGATGGTAAATTTAAATCGTTACTACAGTGTTTAAAAGCAAAGCAAATCTGCTCATCAGTAGAGCCTCCCCAGGGTAAAGTGGGAGAGCAAGAAGCAAATGAAAGAGCTGGAGTTCAGGTTTTGTTTGTTTCATTAAACAGCTTGATCTTGGTGACAGGTCCAAACCACAAGATGTGTTCGGAGACCTTCTGGCAAAGCCATGTAACACAGCAGAGCCTTAAGGTGGGTTAACATCTAAATTAGCAATGCTGCCCGCACATTTTCTGTAAGCAGAAAAGGTGCAAGGGCCGCTGTGCAATCACTTCTCCTTCTCCCCTGAAAGTGGAGACACACCAAAATAATGTCATGGCTAAGCCAGGGGAACCACTGAAGGTCCTAGCAGACACACAGCTGGCAATAGCACACTTTTTTTTTCTTTTCCATTGCTGCTGAATTGTTCTGCAGTCGCATGCGTGCGCATATTCCAATGTAATGATACACTTCTTGTCTGCTAAAGTAAGAAAAGAGGGAGGAAACTACACATGAGTAGCTCTGTGGAGATGCTCCATGCTCCTGGGAGCCACGCTCGCTCCCATGTAACACATTGCCAAACTCACATACGGAAGAGTGGAACCAAGAAAGACCCCCACCTTCTGCACAGCTCCGTATCTCTGGATGGCATCAGACAACTGGTTCTTCAGCCTGTCCAGCTGAAGTCGCTCTTGCTGTTTTGGAAAAACAGAGGTCTGGTTAGCAGGTCTGTAGAGATAAATCAACTACTAGACTGTCTGTGACCACAGGAACAGTTCTGGTGGGAGACACCAACTAAACAAAGTGGGCACAAATAGTATTCTAAAAATTCAATTTCACTGGTGCTGCTGGGATGCTACAAGGTTTTATTTTTGGAAGGGAGCACAAGATGCTTTGATCTTTCAAGCCAAAGCAATTAAAAAAATGTCACCTTGGATATTCAAGATAGCACTCAAGTCATGACTACTGTGTGGTCTGCTATCTGAACTGGACACCTTCTGTGGCAGGGATATATGGTGGGACATTTTGCTGTCCTGCTTACTGCATGAAGGGGGTCGCACTCCAATATCAGTTCTTAAAGATTGTGAAACACAAGCCAATTAATACCTTACCGCCATCAAAAGAACAGAATGGTTGTAGTATGGTATCCTGCTTCTACTTACTAAAATCCAGCCTCAGATTACCTGCTGGAGATGATAACCCAAGGGACCCTCCTATAAAAAGTCCTTTATTTGGATGATACCCCATGATGGAGTTCATCACCTCATTTGATGGCAATGGGTGATTTACTGGACTCGAGAGGTCCATCAGCCACAACAACCTTCCTTCTGCCTGGCCTAGGGCCTGATTGTCAGAAACCAACTTATCTCCATGTTTTCCAAAACATGTACCCAAATGTCACCACCTTTCTGTCTGGAGTTTGCCCCAGCAAGATACCAATCTATGTTTTAAACAAAAGTGTTCTCAGAAGGAAGACCCCAGTATAGCCTGGCGTAACTATCCAACACGCTGCAAAATCACTGCTCTCAGATGGAGTGACCAAACCCAAACAGTGTCAGGCAATGGAAATTCTCCTAGAACTATTGTACCCCCTGGATCTCAGATTTCAGGTGTGCAGGAGCTCACGTGTCCAGGTTTTACAGAGGGGAATGAACTGCAAGGAAGTGGGGCATCACCTTAAAAACCAAGTGTCAAATAAAACCCAATCTACACTAAAGCTACTAAGCAGAAATGTTCACTTTACAGCAATTTCAGCTAATTCAGACAACTGCTTAAGAATACAAAAGCAAATTTTAGAAAGGATGGGATAAACATCTTTAATTTTTAATGGTAGTATTTTCATACACAGAAGAAGATCCCAATCTGACAGTTCATCCAAAGATTTAAAACCATTTTTAGAACAGGGCAAGTATCATTATTCCCATTCTACAGATAAAGGTCTATAAACCTTATGTTCGTTAAACATGCAAAATAAGAAAAGATTGCCACCCTGGAAGGCTGATCTAATGGTCCAGCACTCATCCTACAAAAACCTGGAATTCCAGATAGGCCTCTCTATTTAAGTCCTTTGAGGTTAGTTTGAAAGGAAGACTTAAAATAGCCACGTGCTATTTTACATCAGTCTCCTGCCTTGTATCACACTGATCCACTTACATCAGTATCTTTGCTCCTGAAATAGTATCAATTTGCTCAGTTGGGCATCCTGACTCCCAATGGCTCCAGCAGCACCTGGAGCTTCAAGGGAAGTTAGAGAAACTCCCACAGTGCACCTTGCTGGCAGTGCATTACTGGTGGAAAATAAGGAAGAAAGAAAGAAAAATATTTTTTGTCCGTGTGTGCATGCAAAGCAATACACAGAATAATGGATCAGAAAGGACTGACTATAAAGCTCTAAATTAATGGAAGGCTTTTCATGCTGTGAGAAGTTTTATGGGAGGAAAGTTTGCAATGCTACCCAGATCCCCAAGAGGGACGTACCGACCAGCAGCAACTATTTATTCTATATAAGGGAGGAGGGCTACAGGCTTTCTATCAAAATTTGTAGGTTTAATTACTTAAACTGCGCACTGTTAGAAAAGAAGAGGTAAAAAAATAAAATCTGTGAAATTAATTGACCAGGGAGCAGAAAAAGCTATTATGTGATGCCAATAGAGAGCGGCAAGTTTATTCCTCATATTACTATAATTGTTTGTGTGTCTATTTCCTTCAGCTCTGAAATATTCTCCCTTTAACTTAGCAATTTTTGTCCCCATGACCATAAAAGCTATCGTCCTGAGAGTCCTCAGTGGACACTACATGGGCTTCAAGGGCAAATAATGTCATTTGTGTGTGGCACTATAATTGGGTTTAACGTGACCTTGCCTGATTTCCCTTTGGACCCAATTTATGTCACGAAATGGAGCCAGGAGATCAGCACAAAAAAAGCACAGATCCCCATATCTCCAAGAAAGCATCTTCTGTTTCATCAAGCTCTGATGTAATTATTCTCAGAGTATGCACGAAAAGGAAAAAATAGTCCTTGTAGTCCATCACTAATCAAAGCAACATGTTAAAAAAGATCAAAGTATTAAGGTTGATGCCTGCATAAGGTCAATGTCTATGTATGGAGAACAGTCATTCCAGACTTTCCTCCCCATCCCCTGGAGTAGACCATCACCCATTCATTTTTTCAGGTGGGCTGAATTGCACATGGTCCTCCACAGGTTACAAAGGTAGCCTGGGGTGATTCAGCTCTTAAATCCTTATCTCATATGCCTGTTGGCAAGTGACATAAATCCAGGCTGTAAAAACCACTTGCACAGAGACGAGTTGTGTATTTAGAGCAGTGTTTTTTCTAGGTGGAAGGACAGTGAGAACAGCGTTGAAGTAATACAAGACTTTGGAAAATGGCAGGAAGTGAGTGAGCTTAAAACACCAACTCAGGTAAGTTCCTTTCCTAGAAACTATATGAATGCTGGAAGCAAGAATGTAACAGAAAACTGCTAGGCAGAATCAAGTAGAAAAGTATTGTCCTTATTCTCATTTCAGTTGCTGAATCACCTGTTATGTGGGTGAAACTTCTCAACTCTCACACCACAATACGCTTCTGTTTTTCCCCATGATGCATA